TATCTTAAGTTAGAACAGCTCCAACCCCTACACAAGAAACATCACATTCAACTTCAAAAGATTTTGAAAAATAGGGTAAAACAAGGATAGGTGCTTGTGTGAGCTTTTGTTTCAATGTATCAAAAGCATCTTGTTGAATACTTCCCCATTCAAACTTATCATCCTTTTTCGTGATGGCGATTAGCGGGGCGGCAATGGTGCTGAAGTTTTGCACAAATCGCCGGTAGAAGCTTGCAAGGCCATGGAAGCTCCGAACATCCTTCACGCTCGTCGGTATAAGGCCATTCTTGAATCGCCTTCACTTTGCTTTCATCCACACTAATCCCATCTTTTCTTACAATAAAACCAAGGAAATTGCATTTTTCGACACAAAAGTTGCACTTCTTGCGATTAGCAAACAACTTCTCCTTTCGAAGAACATCGAGTACATCATTAACATGTTTTGTGTGTGCATCAATAGATTGACTATAAATGAGTATATCATCAAAGACACAACAACAAATTTGTTAATGAAATTCCTCAATATATGGTTCATCAACCTCATAAAAGTGCTCGGTGCATTTGTGAGTCCAAATGGCATAACAAACCATTCATATAAACCAAAAGTGGTTTTGAAGGCTATTTTCCATTCATCACCTTGATTCATACAAATTTGGTGATACCCATTTTTCAAATCAATTTTCGAAAAGATTTTTGAACCACTCAAATTATCTAACATATCATCTAATCGAGGAATTGGGTGATGATATTTTACCGTAATTGCATTGATAGCACGACAGTCAATGCACATCCTCCATCCTCCATCTTTCTTTGGCACCAAAATTACGGGCATTGCACAAGGACTGAGACTCTCGTGAACCCATCCTTTGATCAACAACTCATCAACTTGCTTTTTGATTTCCTTTATCTTATCCGGATTGGCTATATATACTGGTCAGTTCAAAAGAGAAGATCTTAGGATAAAGTCAATTTGATGCTCAATTCCTCGAATTGGAGGCAACCCACAAGGTACTTCTTCGGAAAACACATCTTCATAATCCTGCAACAAGTTAGCAATGCTAGAGGGAAGAACATTAGTATCTTGATGAGACAAATATGAAGTCTTAGTAAATATTAACAAAAAATGTACTCCATTTTCCAGTTGGTTGATCTCCTTCCTACTAACAAATAAGTTAGTCATCACACTCTCGTGTATAGAAGATCTGTCGGCATCTCCCTTACTCACACCACTCGTGTTTTTGGAATTTGAGTATTTGGATTTTGAAGAAGAGGGATTGGAAGAGTTTTGAATAGAAAGCTGCTCAACAATTTTATGTGGGTCAAGGGTGTTTGAAATGCACTTACTTTTCTCATCATCTTTGCTTACAAGGACTTTCTTACCATTCTTTTAAGCTCTTTTCTCTGTTTGTTCCTCCGCATATTGTTTGTATAAATACTTTTGATCCTCGTTGACCTATCTCGGACTGAATGGCTTCAAAGTAATAGGTTTCCCAAGATGGGAGAAAGTGTACCTATTACGATATCCATCATGAAGTACCTTATTGTCAAATTGCCAAGGACGTCCTAGTAACACATGACAAGCTTGCATCGGGGCTACGTCACACCTCAATTTGTCTTTGTAGCCTTGAATCTCAAAATCTAAATCCACTCGTTTGAGAACATTGATCTCGCCACAGTTGTTCAACCATTGTAACTTATACGGCTTTGGGTGGACAAGGGTTTTCAAACCCAACTTCTTAACTGCAAGGTCACTCATAACATTAGTGCAACTACCTCTATCAATGATCAAGCTACATACTTTTTCTCCCACTTTCGATCTCCAATGGAATAAGTTATCCTGTTGCTCCGTGTCCTCGACACCTTTGGGAAAGGTACTGAGAGCTCGCAAGGTCACCAACGTTAATCCACTATTGGTTGTGGACTCATCTTCCTCCAGATTGATCTCTTCGTTCTCCTCCATGTTCTCCTCAGATTCGGATACGTAATCTCCAGTGGACGTGATGATCATAGTCCTCCTGTTAGGACATTGATTGGCAAAATGTTCTCATCCTTGACATTTAAAACAAAATAACTCACGAGTGTGAGTAGTGGATCCATTATTTAGAGAAGATGTCGTACCCTTTGATTGTGACGATGCAGCAACGGTGGATTCCTTCCCCTTGCTTGTTGTTGAGGGAGTTTGCGGCTTTGATACGTTTGTCGGCTGCAGCATCCTTTGGTGTATGTGCACCTTATTCTTTTTCTTCAATTGTCTCTCAAATTTGATGGCTTGGTGTACCATCTCCTCAAAATCCACGTAATGATACAACTCCAAACTATCAACATTTTCTTGATTAAACCCAATGAAGAAATGGGCCATAATACGTTCAGGATCATCATCAACATCAGCTTGCTTCAACAACATCTCTAACTCTTTGTGGTATTCATCCACCGTTCTTGATCCTTGCTTCAAACCTTCCAACTTCCGTAGTACCTTACGGTGATGATGTGGCGGCACGAATTTTCTCCGCATGAGTCCTCGCAACTCATTCCAAGTGCGCACGGGAGGCTCTCCGTGTCTATGTCGGGAGAGGTTGGTCTGGTCCCACCATGGTAAAGCATAGTCAGAAAAATCCATGATAGCAACACGTAACTTTCGTTGCTCTGAAAGTTTTTGCACGTAAAAAATCAACTCCATCTTACCCTCTCATTCTAGAAATGCCTCGGGATCATATTTCCCATTGAATGACGGAACTTGGAACTTAACAGGTGGTGCAACCTCATCATCATACCTCATTCGGGGATTATGTGGTCTCCGTCATGGGAGTTCATCATTGAACTCTTCTTCTTCCTTCTCAAAGTCACGCTCGTACCTTATTGGTTCACGAAGGTTACATCAGGGAGCTGGTACTTCTCTTCGAAAGGCGTTATTTCTAACTCCCCCTTCACGAACACCTTCCTCGTCAATGGCTTCAGAACCATGTGTAGTTCCTTGCCACTGTTGGTTAAACTCCAACTTATCCATGCGATCATTAAGCACCTCGAGTGTAGAATGGTGTAACTCCTTCACTTGGTTCATCACCAAAGAAGTTTTGAACATCTACATTTTGAATCTGTGTGTCCTCCTCTCCTACCATTAGGAAAAATAATATGGAAATATATGATAGATTAGTTAGAAAATAAGCCCTCACAACGCTTGTGTTTCACTCCTCACGTATTGTACCTTTCCGTCTTGCACAAAGCATGAATTAGATCGGTGAAATGTTTCCAAAGATGTGATAAAAGATATCAAGAGAGTGTAAGCAACTACAAAGAACTCGAATGAAATTGAGAAATAGAAAAGAAAAAACAAAAAAAAAATACTTATGATGGAAAATGCGGAAGTTATAATAGAACAAACAAACAAACAAAAGTGCTGATTTTTTATTAGCACAAGCTTTTGTAATAACTTTTTTTTGTTTTCCTTTTTTTTTGAGAAGAAAGAATAACACTCGACTGTAGAAACTCGAGCTAACTAGTTTTGATACCAAAATGATATAATCCACGTGCCTTCGTATAGTTTTCCCAGGTTGAACAAGAATAACCTCAATCAATGTAAGCAATTCGAAAAAAAAAATAGATAAGATAGGGCAGAAATTGATACCCAACCTAGTTGATTAAGAACTTCAAGAATTCAATCTTAGACCAAAAATCCTAACTATGAAAAATGAACAAATCGATAGGCTTAATTCCTCTGCAAGAATTTAGAAGCCACAAACCAATGGATAATTCTAAAGACCAGATTTGAAAACAATGTGTAAGAAATCACTCACTCACACTTTGAAAGTAAACACAATGAAAAACAATAGTTTTCAAAGAAAGAGAAATATATTATGACCAAAGTTGATATGAGAATGAATACAAGAGCCTATATATAGGCCAAAGGGAAGGGGGACAAAGTACTTTATTACAATTAAATTGGCAACACATTTCCATAGAAAATATATTCCAATATACATAATTGCTAGATGTTTCGAAAAGCATATTACCAATATCACAATAATGGCAACACATACCCAAAAGAATATATTTCTAAGATTGTAATTAATGGTAGTACATTCCTAAAAAGTGATGTAAGCAATGATGTCAATGCTATGATGTAAGCAATGACATCATCACATGTGATGTAAGCAATGATATCAATGATTATGTAAGCAATGACATTATAACATGTTTTAAATTATTTTTATTTGTATAACTATTAAGCTCGGGTTGATAGGTCTCCATGCTTCATCTTCATTTATATTCTACATCACGAGCTCTCGTATTAATTCAGAAAACTGGTCTTGAAGTTTACGAGCTCGGCTTTGGGTAATTGGTCCAAGTGGTTCGGGAGGCTTTTGTACGTTCACGTTGCTACCCGCATCATAACCGCCGATCAACTCGACTTCATTCATTCCAACTTAATTTCATCTTGATTGAGTTTGGGGTCGGCCCATAAACTCACAACTGCTCGCGTCTTTCCACTACCAAAAAAATGGCCATTTGTAGCGATTTTAAAACCGCTACAAATGGCCATTTTTTGTTATAAAAAGCTATTTGTAACGATTTTGTACCGGATTTTGGCCGGTGCATATACTCGAGTTACAAAAAGTCTATGTACCGACATTTTCCGAACAAAAAGTGGACAATCAACGCGCGTGAGAAATCTTTTTGTAACGGTTTTTGTAACGCTAACAATGCTTTTTGATTTATTTGTAGCGGATGTTTCTCGTAATAAAAGAGTCGTTACAATAAATGCTCATGCATTTGTAATGGCTTTTGTTACGGTATAATTTTTGTTACAATAAACTGATTGTTAGAAAAATATTTTAAACGACATTCATAATTTTTTGTACCGGTATTTGTAACGAACACAATTTCGCAACAAAAGGAGTATCCTTATTTTTTTAGTAATAATAAAAAAAATGGTATCGAAACCGAAAAAAATAACTAGTTCGCAATGCAACCATTAGTAGCACCAAGTACGCACTATCTAGGAACATAACTAGTCCGCAATACAACCAACATATACAATCCAAAGGCAAATCATAGCAACAAACACACAAAAGGAAGCAACATATGCAAGTTCAACATATGTAAAGGACTTAGTCAGTATCAATCCAAAAACAAAAGTTATCATCATAGAATTACATGCAACGCTACATCGCCCCATGCAGCGTCAAAGTGAATATACACGGCAGTTAGGTGTGACGAACGAGCTGCCAACATAGTGAAAAATTATATAAGAATTTACTTGCGAGGTGGTTAAGTTATAATCTAATAGAAAGTTATAAAAATGGTTACGTACATCCTTGAATGTCTAGTCGATTGGCTCGACGTGGACAAACTCACAGAGTGTTGCACTTCAGATATCGTTCGTGAATTAGCGCAGCCTCCTGAATGGTAGCAGCCGTGAAGAAAACCTTTACTATATTAATGGTATAACCTACGTACATATAAAGAAAACATGTGCATATCATCGAAAACAAAATGCAACTCACAAAATTTTATTATCTTAAAGCGGATGAGCGATAGTGCAACATTAATAAATATACAAAACAATCATGAGCTAAAAGATAGTCACATGTGGCTTCAAATGCATACCGAGAAAGTATATAAAACTGTATATTATCCAGAAGAAATGCTTGCAAGTTTCTAGATTTCCTGCATGAATCGAAAACATAACCTATAATTATTTTTTTTACAAAATTGATGGAATGAATAAGAGAAGAGGCAAGGACAATAGAAAAAAATGCAGCAAAATTATTCTCACTTAAAAGTTATGACCTCTCTTTATTACCAAACCCAAAAGTGTTGGCATAAAACAGTTAACCAAAGGTAGCATCCTACCGAACTGGAGCCCTTGACTATAATGCATATAGGAGAAACCACTCAGACACATTCATTAGCTGAATAATCCAACTATAAAACAAAATCGCAATACTGAATAATAGACAAGGAAATTATAATTCTACCTTCTTTCAACATATTATAGATGGACACAATTATCACCATTAGCTGCAAATGCCTTGTCTCTTTACCTTTCAAAATTTTCCAACCATATGTTAGTCGAAAACAAGAAAATAAAATGCAAGTGACTTGGGAGGTAAAAAGACAATCTTCAAAACTACAAACCCAACATCCGGGTCATCTTCTCAACTTCTGTACAACGTCTGAAGCCTATCTACCTGTGATGCACATAGATTTAAATATCATGTACTCATGAGACCGAAGTATTGCATTGATTATTAAGTAGCATTTCAGTATTCAAGATATCTCAAACTTTACCGTAAGCAAATAGATTATATTTTCTGATAATTAAAAGAAAGTAATTTATAGATATAGTCAAGCCAAGGTTTTAGCTTAAAAAATACGAAACCATTTCTCTAACTATTGATGTAGTTAATCAGCTTGATTCTTGAGCATATACATGATGTTATTCTCCAATGCATTCAACTTAGTTCTGAGCAATATAAATTGATTATGCTCAAGTGCAAGACAAACATGTTCAAACAATACAGGTAAATATCAAGCCCCATAAATTTTGGGCAGACAAATTCCCACAAACAAAATAATGCAAAAGCAAACAATTCATTTTCAAGAATCACAAAATAAATCCATGCAGTAGATTGGATTTTCATAAATCAACCAACAAACTTAGAGACCCACAAATTAGAAATAGATGCATGTAGCTCATTTCACTTGGCCTAGCACATGATATAAAAACAGGTCATTATAATGATTACCCATTACACTCAATGTGAAGAAACTTATGAAATCATCAACATAAGAAATCCATAAAGTTAGTGAACAATTTCTATTGTACAAACCAATTGACAAATAATAAGTTGGACTTCAGCTAGCAATAAGTTCAGACATGGCTACTGCAACAAATGAAGAAAAGTCAATCTCCACAACTGAATTGTCAAAACACAAGCTTGATTACACTTTTGCTTTACTACCTATAAGAAAGTAATATTTCCTAGTGATTTTGATAATTTTCATACCTGAAATAGTGTCAATTATAGCCATACTGCCGTGACTAATCAAATCTGCAAGAAAAATTCTGCTAGGATTAATCCAGTATTGATGTCTGCATCCTTGTAGAAATCCAATAATGATTATAGAATAAATCTGTTGGTAGATAACAATGCATAATTGACAGGAATAAAAAATCACTTTTTAATTGAATTTTTTGATACATTATAAGAAACAGTCAAGGCAGTGCTTGCTTTCTTAGCAGAATCGTCTCCCTATATACTAGACGAACAGAGGCATAGCATCATGCATTACAAGACATAGAGAGAGTTTAGAGATAATAACAAAGAACTCATGTTTAAAAAGTGAAATTTTAGTTAATAATAGCTAATTCATACACGATAATATTCTACACCACAAATCCACACTTCCAAATCATCATATTAAAAATAAACCAAATTAACAATCATTACTATAACTATCATAGAATAAGTTCTTTATTTTTTATAGTAACAACACAACTCACAATCGCAACCATAGAAACATCCACAATACAAATCCAAAAGTAAATCAATAACAATAGCTATTCTATAATTAATAGCTATTCATTACTCATAGAAAAAAATCCACTAACCTATTATATAATTAATAGCTAACCCAATGCATCAAACTAAGATCTACAAAATCAAACAAATACAAAAGTTTGAAAACCATCACAAGTAACCAATAAAATCGTGAACATATACTATTAATTAAAATTCAACAAAAAAACAATACAAGAATACCAACCAAACTAAAAAATAATAATAGTCATACTTAATCTATATCAACAGCAAAATACACGTGCAAACCAACAAGTTATTCAAGACATATATTCATATAACCTAAATATTAAAATTATTTATCAATACTTTTGGACCAACTCTAACTTAACAATTTTAACATCAACCATAACAAGAAGAAAAATAAAACAACAAAATTTAAAGAAAATGTCTCGTTTTTAGAACTTTTCACTTTCTTGGGACGAATACTAGAAACTGCGACCGATTTTTTCTCATTAATAAGGTTGATAACAAAACAAGCAATGGTGTGCGGTAAATGACAACACCACATATCATATGCAAACTTGAAACTAGAACCTTTTGTTTGGAATTGTGAAGCCTTGTCAGTTTTGTCTGCTACTGTAATAGCCTTGTTATTCTCGGGTTTAACAATATATCTAGATTGAACCGAAGAAAATCAAGAATCCAAACCATAATCATAAAACAAGCAATGGTGTTCTATTCTAGATTACCACATAATAGATGCAGACTTAAAACTAGAACCTTTTGCTTGGAATTACAAAGCCTTATTATTGTTACTCTCTAGTTTGATAGCATCTCCATATTGAATGGAAGAAAATTAAGAATCCCAAACATAGCGACAAAAATTCAAAATGATCATAAACTTGTAAAAGTTAAATTTAAAATAAGAAAAGAACACAATATTCATCTATCAACCAATGTGTTATATGGTGAGGCAAGAAAGACACATAAAAGATGCAACAATTTGAAAATAACACACCTTCATTGTCTTTTGTTCGAAGCTGCTCAAGATGAGCACCGTACATGGCATTTTTAACTAGAATCTTTCTACCTCCAACAGCTGAATAATTCTTCAACTCAATGAAACGATTAGTATCTTCAATGGCAACACTTACAATTGAGAATCAATATCAAAACTAGTACCACTCACAAAATCCAGAAAAAAAATTATTAAAAAAGCAAATTTTACTTACAATTGTACATAGCCAAACCTTCGATGCTCACTTGATCCTAATATAAAACAAGCAAAGACCGACCAAAAATAAAAGCTTAGTTTAGACAAAATATTTTTGCTACAAGAAATAAAACAATAATGATTTTTTGACTTCAAAACAAGCAATTTTAAAATCAATCTCATCCCATGTAAGTATTATTCTTTTGGTTGTCCACAATATTTAAAATCATAAACTTGTTTGAGGTGATCCTCAAATTCAACGTGGGCACTAGATTAGCGAACTTTTTTTGGTAACCATAAAGCATCTTCTTATTGGTCCAATCTTACTGAAAGTTTCTTCCATCTAAATAAACATCGACAACAAACAATAAATAAATCCAAACTCACGGAAAAATCTAGGGTTGGCATTTTAGGACGTTGGTAGGCAGTGGTGACTCGCTATCGACAGGTCGAGGAAGACGGCGGCGGAGCGCGATTAACGGCCGATGAAGGTGGAGATGACGCGCCATTCAAGGGTGCAGGGCGCAGAAATTAAAGGAAGGTGAATGAGGACGTATGGGAAGGAGAAGAAGAAAAGGAAAGAAGAAGAAGAAGAAGAACGAAGGATGAAGAAGAACGAAGAGGACGAAGAAGAAAAGGGAAGAAGAAGAACAGAGAAAACAAAATAGAAGATATGAACTGGGCGGCACATTAGGGTTTATTTAAAAATATTTTAGTTTTAATTTTAATTGTATATAATAGTTTCAATTTTAAATAAATATTTTTTTTTTAATTTCAATTTGTATATATTAATATATAAATATTATATATGTGTATATATATATATATATGATATATGTGATATATTAATTTAGATTATTTTAGATTTAGTATGAAATTTAATTTTAAAAGTACTGTAATTGTAACGAAAAAAATACCGCAACAAAAGAAAAATGTTGACCAAACTGAAAAAAATATTTGTTACGAAATATTCGGAACAAAAAATAGCTTTTGTAACAAAAAAATTGTAGCGGATGAGATTTCGCTACAAATAACCATTTTTTTGGTAGTGTTCCCAAGACGGGCCGATAATAAACTCAAAATTCCCCATGGGCCCTTGGTCGGCCCTTTTGGCCTCGTCATCAACCCAACTGCTTTCGGCCTTTCCGTCTGAAACTAGGCTTTTCATTCTAAAGTGGGCCAAATCCAAAATGCAAAATAAGGGTTCAAACAAAATAATTGTATATTAAATTTTGCTATAATTTTGTATGAATTCTTCAACTGTTCTTTCAAATCAATAAATTTGAATTTTGTATGAATTCTTCAATTGTTCTTTCAAATCAATAAATTTGAAACTTGAACATAATCTACAAAAAAATATAATACTTAAAACTAAATCAATTGAAAAATGCATATATATAATAAGCATAAAAAAAATTAATTAGTAAAAAAATAATATTGTGATAATAGATAATAAAAAAAAATACATATAGATAATACGAATAAATTTACTAAAATAAAAATAATATTATATATATTAAAAATTATCATCTTATATATATTTGAAAGCTGAGGCCTACCAAATTAAAAGTAAGAATTTTGAACAATTCTGAGTTTTTTTTTTATCTTTTTTTATTGATTGCACAATTTAATTAGTTGCAGTTATTTTATACTCTTTTCGTCCCAAGATAATTGATTTTTTTTTATTAGTGACACGGTATGTAAGGAAATGATATTTAATTACTTAATAATAGTGACTTGCGATATTATTTTATTATTTTTATATAATTAATAATATTGATTGTTTTAAAATAAATTTAATATATATGATTAAAAAATTTAAAATATATATTTAAATATTTTAAAAATTATATCTCAATAAAAAAATATGTACAATATGGATATCATTTTGTAGAGAATACAATTTTTTATAATATAAGTAAATAAAAAGATGTTTTTATTTATTTAGATTAATAAATTTTAGAAAAAATATGAGGTTTTAAATATAAATAAATTTTTTTTTTTTTTTAGTAGAGAGGTAGAAATAAAGAGTTTTGACCCGGTATTTATGATATTATATATTATATAGGTAATTACGTTGATTTATATTTCTTAAATATTTAAATTTAATAAACTTTACCAAAAATATAAATGTGTCAATTGTTATGGGATAAGACAAAATAAAAAAATATGTCAATTGTTATGCGATTGAGGGATTACATTTTTCTTATTTTATTGACTATGTATTTTGATTATTTGACTGTTCTTTTTTAAAAAATTAATTGTTCAATTTAATTGGTTATTACAAAAAAAAAAAAAAAAAAAAAAAAAAAACACTGAACTAAAAGAATGGCAAATTGGAGAAAACTAGCTCCGCCCCTAAAAATATTAACATTCAGACTCCATTATAAATAAAAACACCAAAATCCTAATTTTGTAAAATCTTTACAAATAACTCCGTCTTTTCTCATTATTACCCTTACTATTTATAAACATACAAAATTATACTCATCTTCTTCCTAAAAATACAAAATTAGCCTAATCTTCTTCCTCTCCGATCTCTCTTTCAGTTACCGTATTTTCACACGAAATTAAACAATCTTCTGCTAACGACTAATTTTTTCACGACAAATGTCATCTCTAAAAAAATCATTTTAAATACTAAAGACAGCGAACGTAATATTACCAAATCATTTTTGAAGGAAAAAGAAAAATCTGTAGAGAAACATGGTTATCAATTCAGAAAAGAAATCTCCAACAAATTTTATTGTTCGGTCCAACTCTACATTTTCTCAAACAATACAAATCCAACACTAATGGTGGTTTCTTACGGTGATAATATTCTAAATGTGATTAAATTTCTTAGTTATTTGGGATTTGATGGAGCATAAATAGTAATTAGTTTTTCGATGTGCAAATATGAAAGAGTGTCATATTCGACGGTTGTTTCTTACTATTTGTTAATGTAGTTATCTCTCAATTTATTTGTTTGTATTTGCTCAAATCTAGAAAGAAATAAAAAAGAAAAATGATGATTTCTATCACACAGTTTTAAAATAGGATAATATTTTGTAATCTATAATTTTAATTGAATACGATTTTTTGTAATATTTTTGTTTGAGATCTATAATATGGCCACAATAGTATTAAAAATATTTCATTGAATAGGTGAAATCTAATTTGTAACTTCTACAGTTTGATCAAATTGCATATATATATATATCATACAACCAACTGCGTTGTTTAATCAGTGGATATGCATACCTTTTTTGGGGCATATGATACTGCAGCACATTAATTCAGGTATTTACTAAAATCAATAAAGTATGCCTCATTTATATAAAAGTATATCCTATCAATACTTTGGTATATAAGGATCAATATGATGTATCCTCAAAATATGCAAAATTATTTGATTTTTAATGGTATTCCAATCAGTATAGTAACACATGATGTTAGTAAAATATAATTATTTCAATAAAATTTGGACAAAAAACAACAATCAATCGGTCCTTACTAAATGAAATACAAAAAAAATATGGTATTGAAACAATATTATAAAAAAAATGTATAATTAAACAAGTGACCAAACATCTCTAGTGATTATGTGTAATTTATTTTGTCAATATTTTTATGGAATTATTAAGATAACCTCTTTTATTTTTATGCATGTATATTACACGATCAACTATTTTGTTCTACTGAAGTATATAGATACTAAATACAAATATCTAAGTGTCTTCCATAAGGATATATTTATCATTCAAGTACATATGGATCCGCACTAGAGTTTATAAGTTATAAACGAAGGTATATACTAGAAGGTTTAGATTATATATCATGTTTTCTTATGTATATCAATACTTAGGTATATATGGGTGCACTCTTAAAATTTTTATGATTATTTGATTTTAAAAAATATTTCAATCAAATATCAACACCTAGTGTTTGTGCGATATATTTATTACTATAAACATAGATAGAAGTGCAACAATCTAGTAATAGATTTTTATTAAATAGTGACATAAAAAACATATGAGATTATTAAAATTTTATCAGAAATGTTTAATTGAATACATACAAAAAGCCCCTCAATTTTTTTTCAATAATACTTTTATGAAATTAAATTTAATATAAATGACATGATACTTGAATAGAATAAATATATATTTATAGAAAATAGATATTCTCCAAGAATTAGTGATAATATTATCTTATAAAATTCACCCAAGTAAAAGTGTCACGAGTAATAATATAGTTCTCAAAATGATCCATTTTCCTTATTGAGGTTACATAGGCATAAGTATACATATAACAAGTATTTGAAATATGTATATATACAGATACATGAAAAATGACACAAGATATAAAGATAATGTATATAGTTATTGTTATCCCAAAAAATATATACTATTTGGACTTAATGGAAGAGAAGACAACTCAATTGTTCAACTCAAGCGAAGCCCAAACCCAAATCACAGTCCAAATAAAATAATATATAACTAGATTTGGATATGATAAGATATAGATAAGATAAAATCTTAGTTAGTTATATATGGTGAGATTTAGCATATATATATATTATGTGGTCCATGAGAGAGACAGCACATACATCATTATTTTACTCTCAAATTTAATACATTTGAGCCCATTACTTTTCCTCCATGCACCCTTTTTCCTTTCTTTCTTCTTCTGGTTTTGCTTGTTTTTATTTTCCTTTTGCTTCATTTAATTTCTTGCTATCTTCTTCTTTTGTTTTCCTGTTCTCTTCTCTTTTTTATTTTGGTCTCATTTTTCTCTCTTTTTCATTTATTATTTTTGGAAACACAGTTTTGGATCCTTTTTGGAAGAAGTTGGAGAACTTATCTGATTTTCGGCAGGCTTGACCTGACAAGCTGCCAAAAAAATATTTTGAATAGATTAGCTCGCCCAGTGGGACACATTGTGTTCCTCCCATGAATTTATGAAGTCGAAACTTAAGCGATACGACAGCTTCTAAAAATAGCAAAGGATCAAATGAAGGTGGTGGCGAACAATCTCCGACGTATCCATGGAACATCCCCATACCGCACATGGAAGCATCTTCTTCAGCGGAGGCCAGTGGACAAAGTCTGTATGCACCATCGCACACTATGCCAGAAAACTTTCGAATAGAGATGCAAGCTGCCTTCCATGACCGAGCGTTACAATTAACGAAATATTTTGTGGATATACTTGGCCCAACCATACGCAATGAGATGGAACGGTGGCACGGTGATGAAAAATGAAAGAAAAGACTCCTATTTGTGCCGACGAATATGAATTTGTGAGAGATGCGCAAACAATGTCGATAGCCGGAGCAGGAATCCATGAAGCATTTCGTTCAGGCCAAGTCATGCAATTGGGAGGCAATCTGCAGTCGCCTAGCAAGCAATATACTTGTAGCTGTTACCGGCGACACAACCACAATTCGGACAGCAGGCAAATCCGACTTTAAGGGTTCCCCTAAAACAACCACAGCCTACTGTAGGACGTCCAATGGCTGGACATAATGCAGACTTCCCTGTTGAGCCCCCTCGAGTTGACCATCAGGTCATAGCCGAAGTGGTGTGACAATTGTACGGTGATCCATTGCGCATACTTGCTTGACAGCATTATCGAAGCCCTTTTTCAGATAGTGTTGTGGACGAACACCCTTTACCAAGGAACGCATGTATTCTAGAATTTACGTTCTTTTCTAACGAGGATGCATGATAAACAATAAAGCATGTTAGCCGCTTTACCGCGCAACGCAACGGTGAATTTGGAAACAACAATTGGTTTAAATTACAATTATTCTTTTTATCTTTGACAGGCCCTGCTCTCAGTTGATATGCCACACCGCAACCTAATTCAATCCAATCATGGGACGAGTTGGAAAGGGCCTTTCAAGAAAGATTTTATACATCGTCGCCAGAGATTATTATCTCGGATCTTACAAGTATGCGAGAAAGGGGGGATGAGTCCGTAGAAAAATTTATCAAACATTTCAAACGTGTTGAGGGACATTGTCGAGTGCGGATTCCAGAAGATCAAGTAGCGGGAATCGCAATTGATAACATGTTGCCCTACTTACGAGAGAAGTTTGCATTACAAGAGTACCACGATGTTCATCAATTGACGTCTAAAGCATTAAAGGCCGAACAATTTCATCGTGAAACCCAAGCTGCTCGGTAGCAATGTGCACATCATGCAACTTACTTTATTCAAGAAAACGGCAATGATTCATCGTCTGACAAAAATTCTGGCAATGTGTGCCTTGCTGAATTTACGCAAGGAAAAGCGTATACATGCCCTGCCTTGAAAAAAACTTCTTAGAAAAAAGAAAGTACTCCAAAGGGGCAATACGCGTTCGATGTTGCGAAATCAAAGAATATTTTTTGATATTTATTAAAGGACAAGAAAATCCAATTAAAAGATGGACATAAATTTACGTCTGAAGGAGTACTAAAAGGAAAAAGTTTTTGCAAGTGGCATGGATTCTTTAGCCACGGTTGGAAATTGTATCGTATTTTCTAATGCGGTGCAAAAGGCGATAAAAGAAGGACGGTTACGTCTTGCTGATCGGGCAGACATGAAAGTAGACATCGATCCTTTTCCTACTCCTATAAATGAGGTAGGATTTTATCCCAAGTGGGGGCAACAATTGTGCATGCTGAAATGAGGAAACATAAGAGAAATGCAATGGTGCGCAGGCCATTTATCGAACATGTAGGGAGGGCACATCATCCCTCTTATCAAAACCCTACAATGGAAAGACTATCATCAACAAATATCGTCACTGATGTAAGCTTCGAGAAAGATGGAGAGGTTTGACGAATTTCATCGGTAGGACAAGTTATGATCACTCCAAATTCGACTGGAAAGCCTCAAAAAATTCCAACAGATGGCAGCTGGGCCGTCAATCAGACTCCCAAAAAAAAATCGGCAATTATCTCGATCTCAAAAGAGGCGTAGACAATGTCGGTATCAAGCTGCGAGATTAAAGAACGAGTTGGAACCGAAACAGAATTTTAAAAAACCAGCGACCACTACATATAAAGATATAACTCACAAGAGACCTGGACAAAACTTAAATAAGACACAAATTGAATATTCATATAAGACCTCCACCGAACAACCTGGTCAGCCCAAGGTTTTTCGATGATGACAAAGTTACCGAAAAGAGTAGAGACCGAAGAAACAGGACAACAATTTGTCAGTTACTGCAGGTAACGTCAATCCTCAGCTCGACGCCCAACATAGGACAGCTCCTATTAATTTACAAATACTTTCAGTTGGGCATAAGGAGTGGAAGCCGACCCACCAGGCTGAAGCAAGCACCTCGCAATCAATGACGAACAAGGATAAAGGCAATGCGCCAGTAATTGCGTATGATCTAGAGGAGGCGGGAGAGGAATTGAGGGGTAGTGCTTTTGATGAAGATATTTTTTTTGAAGCAAGTTTTGATGTCATTGTTTCAGATGAAGATTTTAACCATGCGCTTAGATTGCAAAGAAATTTCGCGTAAATGCTTTTGCCCGCCGAATTTGTTGTTCCTCATGATCAACCCCAAACATTAGAATGAGATTTTTTTCTAGAGAATAAAATTCCTGTTATATGGCTAATGGAAGAAAATTCAGACGAAGTTGCTAATTCAGAGCCCATAATTTTTTGGAAACTGACGGACATTGAAACACGTCATTTAAAACAATTATTTCTCACTATAATGCTTGACGGACGACGGATCAACAAGGTACTGGTAGTGGTGGGGCATCATTTTATATAATGATGCTATTAACACTACGAAAGATTGGAAAAAAATCTCAACGACTTGGTACCAACAGGAATGCGCACCATCGATTTCACTAGCAACGCCCACAAAGCCGCCGGCGTCGTTGTCACAGAAGTGGCTGTAGGATCTAGGACAGATTCGATGGTTTTCTTTGTTATTGAAGGAGATCACGTCAAAGTCGTTGAAGCAGAGTTCGATCCTTTGACGGAAATACATGCATTTGAAGCAATTTTTTACTCTCCAGAGTATTTCCCCTATCCATGATATTACAAGGAGCTGAATTATGGGACGAATGCAACTTGGCGTCAAAAAGTTTTGAAGTTCGATCTAAGGCCGAACCATGGCCCGAAAAATGAGAGAATTTATGATGGGATCGATTTCTAAATTAGTCCAAACATCTCTTCCTAGTGGTAAGGCAAAAATAAATGACATAGGAGATGATCTGCCCCTATTACCACAACTTGCTGAAGTAGAAGACGACGAACAGTACCCTAGCCCGATTCGTCGGACTGTTCCGACATTCGAAGTGCAAGATCCACTAGACGAGATTAATTTAGGGAATGAGACAAGTCCCAGAAGCACTCGAGTCAACGCTTTACTGGATGTTAGTCATAAAGATCAACTTGTCAAACTAATCAAGGAGTTTAAGGACTATTTCGCATGGGACTATGATGAAATGCCCGGTTTAGCACGGAACTTTGTCGAATATCGACTACCAACAAAGCCTAATTTCAGGCCCCATGAACAGGCTCCGAGGAGGTTCAATCTAGAAATCCTCCTAAAAATCAAAGAGGAAATAGATAGGCTTTTGCGAGCTAACTTCATACGAACTTGTCGGTATCCCAAATGGATTTCTAATGTTGTTCCAATGATGAATAAAAAGAAGAAGCTACGAATGTGTGTTGATTTCAGAAATTTTAATCTTGCAACCCATAAAGATGAATATGTAATCCCGATAGCCTATATGTTTATCGATGCCACAACGGGATATGAGTTTTTGTCATTTATGGACGGCTACTCGGGTTACAATCAAATTTATTTAGTCGAAGAGGATCCAAACAAGACGGCTTTTAAATGCGCAGGTATGATCAGAATTTTTGAGTGGATCATAATGCCGTTTGGTTTAAAGAATGCGAGAGCAACATATCAACTTGCTATGAACACTATTTTTCATGACTTGATCGGTACATACGTGGAAGTTGTTGGGAATAAATTTAATTAATGGTTGTGGGGTTAGTGGTGTTGACGTTACGAGTTGTTTGAAATTCCTATTGATTAGGAATTAAGTTGTATTTATATTTTGTAACTTCTTGTTTTTAATCTCCCATTATTAGGATGCCTTGATGATGGAATAAAAAAAAATAGAGTTTGAAAAAAAAAATAGAGCATCGATAAAAGATTTCTTAAATCCAGTGCATTTTTGTGTCACTACCAAAAAAATGGCCATTTGTAGCGAAATCTTAGTCGCTACAATTTTCTTGCTACAAAAGCTATTTTTTGTAGCAGATATTACCGTAACAAATGGTATTTTTAGTGTGATCAACACCTTTTCTTTTGTTGCGGCAAATTTCCGTTACAACTAAAATAATTTTATTTTAAATTTCAAAATAAATCTAAAATAATATATCATATTTACATATATATATCATATATAATACAGACATAATACTTATATATTGATATATACAAATTAAATACTTATATATTAATATATACAAATTAAAATTAAAATAATTATTTATTTAAAAATAATAAAATTTCAAAATAAATCTAAAATGATATATCATATTTACGTCATATATAATACATACATAATACTTATATATTAATATATAAAAATTAAAATTAAAATAATTATTTATTTAAAAATAAAAGTAATATAAAAATAATAAAATTCTACTGCATAACCCTAATTAATTCAATCGCACGCAGCCCCGCCCCCTCCGTTCTCCTCTCTTCTTTCTTGCTCTATTCGTCTTTATTTCTTCTTATTTTTCTTTCTTCTTCTTCGTTTGTTTCCTGGTTCGTCTTTTTCTTCTTCTTCGTCGCTGTCTTCTTCTTCGTATTTTTCTTCACCGACTGGTTGTCCTCCGCCCTACACCCCTGAACCTCGCAACGCCTCACTGTCTTCGGCCATCGACCGCGCTCCACCGCTGCCCGCAGACGTCCTCAAACGCGAACCCTAGCTTTTTCTGTAAGTTTGGATATGGGATTAATTCTTTTTTTTTTTCTGCCTAGTTAGGCTTTTCTGATTTTTAATTTTTGTTCGTAATGTTAGATTTAGGGCTTAAATTGTTTACATAGATGATGAGAAATTTTGTAATTATATGGTTCGTCAATTAGATCCATTCCTCTTGTGCCTTACTTTGTGGATGAGAAATAGTCTTTTCCAAAAAGAAATTATTCCTGCATTTTTATCGAGTGAAAGAAAATTATGTAATTATGAAATCTTGATCTTCTTTCACTGGATAAAAATACAGCTTATGATTTCACTGGAACTAATTTTACATAATTATGAAATCTTGATCTAGACATGATCGGGTGGAATTAGCCAAAACTGTACCTTATGTTTCTCATCAAATCATAACCTCCACAAATCATTTGACAACTCAAATAAAATACCTGAATCTATGGTAGTCTTGCATGATTTCTTCTACAAATTTAATTAACAGAACCAAATGCTTTATGCATTCACATCTACCGATTGCTGTCTACTGTTCTTTTTATGCTTGGATAAATGAAGTGTTTGAGCTGATTTTGAGGTTTAATCGGGTTGGCATACCCCAAGAACTGGTGTAGCATGCATGTGAGCTTAATTATGTAAAATTAGTTCCGAGCATCGAAGAAGAATGCATGTTGCATTTCATAATTTTGTAAGTGGGAAGTTTGTTCATTGCATGTCAACTTGTTCCTGAAGCACGTGATTAGCATAAACTTTATTTTTACAGGTAAAATTTACTATATAGTTGGTGGAGGCAGAACACATATATAAGTTTATATATATGTCTATGTATTGTTTGTATGAATTAATATTGCAATCAGAAAAGGGGAGGGTTGGGTACATCAACCACAAGAATTACTTGGAATATAAGGTTTGGGGACCACCTCCAAATTTAAATCCAACTGCCACCACATCAATTGCTTTCTTCTCCAAACCTTCTAGGAGATTTTGTATATATGTATATATATGTGTGTGTAAGACGATAGTGGTGCATTATGCTGTAGTTCATGTTCCATGCCGATAAAGCAGAACAACTACCAAAAACCTAGTCTAAATATACCATCATCACTGATATGTATAATATTGTTTGTGTTTTCTCTGTTACTCGTTACTGCTTTTATAAAGTGTTCTGCTGATTCTTCGATCTACTCATATGCATTATGGATGACATTAGGCATCTTTGAAATTGAATAGGTGTGTGATACCCGCCATTGAGGGACAACGTACTTTTGGGCAGAAGTCTAAGCGTCGATCCAAACTTGCTGCATAATAGTAAGTTATTCATGCATCCATAGTATATCACATTACCTGTATAGTTTTTATGATATGAACATTCAAATTATAGTGCTGATATTCATATTTTTAGTTCAATACTACTATTTTCGGTGGTTATATAAGCCGAGGCAGGTTACTATTAAGAACCAACCTGAAATAAGTTATCTTAGGGTCTGAAAATTATTTACATGGCACGCTATTAAAGTGGTACTTATATCTTGATCTACATTACAACATGTGTTTAATTAAGTGCATACAATTTATGTTAATGGGATTATAAAAAATCTTCAAACTTTTTCTTTCTTAGATGGACAAGAGTTGGATTTACGAATCGAACCATACTTCGTCTATTTATTTGGATGGTGTGATACAATTCTTAAACTATGCTTTTCGTGGGAGGGGCATAGATTCGGTTGCATATTGCCCATGTAGGACTTGTTTAAACCGTGCCACTAATACTCGTAGGGAGATATTGCTTCATTGCATTAGGTATGGGTTTGACCCGTCTTACAGGGTGTGGACTAGCCATGGTGAAGTTATGGGTGAAACATCAACTAGCACGGAAGACAGGCTTAGGTCAGCACTGTGGGAAGATGACCTAGATATGCTAATGCGCGATTATGCTATGCCTGACCACCTGGGTGAAGGGATCAATGAAGGCAACACTGCAAACGATGTAGGTGACGACCATAGAGATGACAACAACAGTGGGTGGAGGCAAATGCTTGAAGACATGCAAAATGATCTTATCCCAGGGTGTAAGAAGATTAGTAGGCTTTCATTTATTGCACGTCTCTTGCATTTGAAGGTTCTATGTCAGTGGTCTAACCACTCGGTCGACCTATTATTGGAGCTGTTGCGGGATGCCCTACCAGATGTTGTGATCTTGTCGAAGAATTACTACGAGGCAAACAAAATAACAAAGAAGTTGGGGTTCAATTATAAGAGTATAGATGCATGCATTAATAACTGTATGTTGTTCACAGGAGATTACGTAGAACTCAAATCTTGTGTGATTTGTGGGGCTAGTAGGTTTGTTGACGGCAACCCCACTAAGGCAGCAAAAAAGATGAGGTACATTCCCTTAGTGCCCCGTTTACAGAGATGGTTTTTATCTTCGAAAACTGCAGCTTCCATGCGCTAGCATGCTGAAGGCCATGTCAACGATGGACTGTTACGCCATCCGGCTGATAGTGCAGCATGGAAGAACTTCAAACGCATGCCCTAATTGCGGTATGAGAACACATTGGGCATACTTGAAAAATGGTCATAAATTCTGCTGTTGTGGACACCGGCGATACCTGCCCGAAGTCACAGAATGCGTCTGGATCGACAGTTCTTCGACGGAATGATGGACTTTGCAACACCTACGACACGCATAACTTGTACAGAACCGGAAGAACAAATACGCGATGTGCCAACTACATATGTGAAAGATGATTTGATTACACAACACTTGGCACATCGATCTAGAAAATGGCGTCGCTATGAGCATGAAGAAGTGTTAGGGTGGAAAAAGAAGAGCATATTCTTTGAATTACCATACTGGGCTGAGAATGATATACGACACAACCTTGATGTGATGCACATTGAAAAAAATGTTTGTGAGAATGTCCTACACACTTTGCTAGGCACAAAGGGCAAAGCAAAGGACAACCTTAATCCAAGATAGGATTTACAGTTGTTGAATATAAGAACTTCTTTGCATCCTATTCCGAGACCGAATGGTGGTTTTTATTTACCTGCAGCCGCTTACACCATGAGTTCCTCTGAAAAGAAAATATTTCTATCGGTCTTGAAAAATCTAAGACCCCCCGATGGTTTCAGTAGCAATTTATCCCGTAGGGTGAGAGTGGAGCAACTAAGCATTTGGGGATTGAAGAGCCACGATTGTCATGTTCTAATGCAAAAGATTCTTGCTATTTCCCTGACACGGCCCGGCCGCGTATAATTATAACCAACATAATTTTCTTACCCACAAAGTTCAATAGAACAAATGGATAAAGAATATGTATAAAAGAAAAGAGAAAGAAGAAGAAAGATAGTGCAGAGAATGTGAATTAGTATGGATGATAACCAACCACGAGAATAAGTCTCGGACCTGAAATCAATCCACAGGTAAAACACAAACAATAGGCTAAATCCCACTGCAAAGGATTGGAAGCCACGAACCGATGGAATCACTCCAAAGACCCGATTTGAGATTCTAAATGCGAGGAAATCACTCCCTAACACTAGAAAATATAAAAGTGAAATTCAATTCAAGATGTAAAAAAAAAGGTCCGCATTACAATGATAGGTAAGGACCTTATATAGAGGTCCTTGAGGAAAATAAAAGGCAACAAGTAATAAAGGAAACAAACCAAAAGGTAAGTCTAACTATAAGGAAATAAATAATTAGGGAAGTTTTAGATATGGAATCATACTATATGGGAACTTATAATAAAAGGAAATAAGTGATGATTCCCTTGATATACTTCCATGATTTAGTGATTCTCTCCATAAGTGATGATTCCCTTGATATACTTCCATGATTAGTGATTCTCTCCATAAGTGAGGATTCTCTTGATATACTTCCATGATTAGTGATTCTCTCCATAAGTGATGATTCTCTTGATAACCTTCCATTATTAGCGATTTTCTTGATCTTTCAATTGGAATTCTTGCGGGTCCCATTGAAGGAGCGTCAGGTAAGGGCTAAGTGGTCTCCAAGCATCAGCCTTAAATTGATTCTCCATGTAAAAGCATCTGATCAATGTAGTGACGGATTTTTGAAACTGACGAGCTCGGCTTCGAGTGATGGGTCCCACGGGCATTTGAATGCTTAAAGATTTGACGTCCTCGTCATTCCCTCCTTCTTGAAAAGCTTTCTTGTTCTCCCGAACAAGATATTTATCTGCTGCATCAAAAGGGCTTAAGTCAGAAACATTAAAAGTAGCATGAACTTGGTACTCACCTGGGAGTTCAAGTTTGTAAGCATTATTATTAATGCGTTCCAACACTCGAAAAGGCCCATCGCCATGGGGAGTAAGTTTTAACTTTCGTAATTCTGGAAATCTTTCCTTCCTTAAGTGTAGCCAAGACCAATCTCCTATCTCGAATACAACTTTGTTGCGCCCACAGTTAGCTTGTTTTGCGTAATTATCAGCTGCCTTTCGTAGGTCATCCCGAACTTGAGAATGAAATTGTTGGACAAATTCAACCCTTTTTCTGCCATCAAAACAAACGTGCTCATTGCGTGGCAATGGCATAAGATCAAGAGGAGTTAATGGGTTAAAACCGTAATCAACCTCAAATGGAGAACAATTTGTAGAGCTATGAATCGTACGGTTATATGAAAATTTAGCATGAGCTAAACATTCTTTCCAACTCTTCAAATTCTCATGAACTAAGGCATGTAATAAGCTACCCACAGTTTGATTAACAACTCCTGTTTGACCATCAGTTTGTGGGTGGTGTGATGTGGAAAACATTAATTGTGCACCTAATTTAGCCCAAAGTGTTTTCCAAAAATAACTTAAAAATCGAGAATCCCTATAAAAAACAATGGATCTTGGAACACCATGCAATCTAAGAACCTCTTTCAAAAATAATGAAGCAACATGGTTAGCATCAGTGGTTTTTGTGCATGGAATAAAATGTGCCATTTTTGAAAAGCGATCAACCAGAACAAATATTGAATTTTTAGCAGACATACTCCTAGGCAAACCTAATATGAAAGCCATAGAAATATCAACCCAAGGGGATTCAAAAATAGGTAGGGGAGTATACAAACCGCGTGGATGAACAGTAGACTTCAACGAGAGGCACGTTGTACACCGACGAATTACACCTTCAGCTTCGGGAGGACGTACATAATGTTGCCATGTTTGCAGGGCTCGCACTAAGGAGTACAATTCCTTATCGTAGGTTGAGTAATTCAACGTAGGGCCATGTAGCTTTTCACTGAAAAATGCAACAGGTCTCTTTTCTTGCGAGAGGACGACACCAATACCTACACCAGAGGCATCACAATCAAGTTCAAACGGTTTAGAGAAATCAGGTAAAGCAAGTACGGGTGCACATGTAAGTTTCGATTTCAAAGTATCAAAAGCATTTTGTTGTTCACTTCCCCACTCAAACTTATCGTCTTTTTTGGTAATTGCTGTTAAGGGTGCTGCAATAGTGCTGAAGTTCCGCACAAATCGACGGTAGAAACTTGCAAGGCCATGGAAACTGCGGACATCACGTACGCTAGTAGGTGTAGGCCACTCTTGGATGGCTGCAACTTTCGCAGGATCTACACATACTCCATCTTTTCCTACAATAAAACCCAAAAAGTTGCACTTGTCGACACAAAAGTCGCATTTTTTCAAGTTAGCATATAACTTCTCAGCCCGTAAAACATCTAAAACTTCTTGCAAATGTTCAACATGTATTTCAATAGAAGTACTATAAACAAGTATGTCATCAAAGTATACTACAACAAACTTATTTATAAAATTCCGTAAAACATGATTCATCAATCGCATGAATGTGCTTGGGGCATTAGTAAGTCCAAATGGCATAACTAACCACTCATATAGACCAAAAGAAGTCTTGAAGGCAGTTTTCCATTCATCACCTTGATTCATCCGAATTTGGTGATAACCACTTTTTAAATCAATTTTTGAAAAAATTGCAGAATCACACAAATTATCAAGCATGTCATCTAATCTAGGAATAGGATGACGATACTTAACTGTTATAGCGTTGATGGCTCGGCAATCTACACACATGCGCCAACCTCCATCTTTTTTGGGCACCAATAGGACAGGTACAACACAAGGACTTAGACTTTCACGAATCCAACCTTTGCTCAGTAGATCCTTCATTTGCCTTTGTATTTCTTTTACCTCATGCGGGTTGGCTCGATAGGCTGGCCGATTAGGAATTGATGCTCCCGGGACAAAATCAATTTGGTGCTCAATTCCACGAGTGGGTGGTAAACCATGGGGTACTTCATCAGGAAAAACATC